AATACCTGGGGTGTGGTCTCCATTCTATTCATACTTGCATGCATGCATGCATGCATGCATGCGTACATGCATGCATGCATGCTGTGCATGCACATACATATGCTGGTGGCCCCAGGGGGTAAGTGCGTTAAAATATGGGTTTTAATGCATAAAGTTGCGGTTATCATTCATTCATACATACATTTATACATTATACTCTCATAGTGGCAGGGGATTGAAGTGGTTTTAGGAGGATAGAATGTGCAGTGGCTGCAGGCTTTTCGTGGGGACTTTGCAGCTGCTTGGATGCGGCTTGGGATAGGTCAGGTCAAGCGTCCGTTGCATGTTTGGTTTCTCATGGTTTCTCAGTGTTTAGTCGTTGATTGTGTGTGTTGTTTTTCTTGTTTGGAGAATGTCTTGTATTCTTCTTCTTGGTGTTGTTTTCTTCTCTTCTCCTTGTTGTTCGTCTTCCTCATGTCTTCTATCATTCTGTAAGAGTCTCTATATGTATGTAGGTATGGTGGTAACAGTTGCAGGTTACATTGATGCTTCATATTGGCTGGTGTTGTGCTGTATGGCTTCGGTGTTTTAATATGCAAGCGGCACCGTTGGGGGTTGATGTTTTAAAACCAGCCTGCATTATTTATATGGAATAAATTATGTTGTTGGACAATGACGTTTTTTTAAACAGGGCTTTCAGTGTACGTGGTTTAATGACTTAGTACATCATTAATTGGTGGTTTAAAAAAGCCTGTTGAAAGGTGAAGGAGACTTTGTGAATATACTGATTAATGTTTGCGTAGTGGATCATGTAAGGTGAGATGTTGAGCACAGACACAGTGTGTGTCTTTAGATGGCGTTATGAGGGGCCTGATGATGTAGCGGTTACCTCTAGATGGTGTTATGAGAAATTCATATGATGATGCTGTAGCAAAAGCATTCACTGCATGTTGTCGTAGCATCTTGGGGACGCCGTGGTCGACGTGACTCCTCATTCAAGTGGGTGAGGTGTGGTATGAAACTCTCTATCGTGAGTCTCAGGGAGTATAGCTGGGTACCTGGGACCTCCTGTGTGAGGTGGTTAGCTGGCTGGTAGACTCAACTGCTGGAGTTGTTTTTTCTGGGTTAGCTTTTCTGTTTTGGTTATTTCTTGGAAATGAGATATTATTATGGCAGGAACTTTTTGATACAATGGGAGGGTTCTGAAGTGGGGGTTGGTATGGGCGCTTATATAGTGTATAATAATAATATTGTTAACAGTTTATTAAACTTGGCAGCGTGAAATGTAGGATTACATTTGGGGAATGGTTTACAATTCTAAATAATATACTAGTAACATGTGTGACCAAATGGGACATATAACAACTGGGGAAAAAGTCAGACTACAGTTCATTCTACATGAGTGACGGTGCAGGAAGTGTGTTTGCTGGGGGTGGTATGCTGATTTGTTACAAGTTATCGGTAATTTTTAATGGTTGGGACTGGTGTTCTTATGTGATGAGTTCGTGCAGTATGGGCTGGGCTGGATGCATTTGTGGTGTCGAAACAATTCTCGGATGGGATCTCAGGTGGTAGTAGGGCAGGTGTCGGGGGATGGTGTAGAAACTTCAAATTGCAGATGGGGTCGTGGTGATGGTCAGTGAGAGTCTAAAGGGTCGGTGTTGTAGCTTGTTCTTGAATGTGTGGAGTAGGAATGGTAGAGAATAATTTGCATGGCCTCTTGCCTGAGTGTTTACGTTGTGTGGCATTTGGGGGAAGACCAGGTGGAGGCATGGGTGAGCAAGGAGTATGAATGTTGTGTAACTTAGGGCTCGTGTGCAGGAACACCGAGGGACTTGTCGGGTATGAGGTGGGGGCGAAACTGGAGGGTTGTTAACTGACGTGTGGTTTCTATTTGGTTTGTCTGATATGTATGTGTGTGTGTGTGTGTGTGTGTGTGTGTGTGTGTATACTGCATACAACCTGTAGTTAGTATAGTAGGCCTATACACTATTTTGTTAGTATGTGTTATAAATGAGAAATTGCATGTGTGTGTGTGTGTGTGTGTGTGTGTGTGTGTGTGTGTGTGTAGTAGTAGTAGTAGTAGTGTGTGTGTGTTTATTATTATTATTGTGCTAATATAATACTAAGTTGCCCGCCGAATTTCCTCAAAGAATGGGAAGGAAACACATTGGCGGCAGAATATTGTTCTCTCCATGATGCAATTTCACCGAAGCCAGAAACTGGCGAAGCGGCGTGTTATATGCCATTTGTTTCCCATTAGGCGTACCGCTCAGCTGGGAAATGGAAATTCATAAAAAGATTTAGTGGAAAACACACCTTTCCTTCACATACAGTTATGCTTAGAGCCATCTACTAGTATAATAGTTTACTGCATCTCTACCTCTTTCTGGAGTTGTTGCTATTTTTTTTTTTTTTTGACTTCTCATCCAGATTGTGCATTCAACTAATATACTAATGAGTGTGTTTATTATTATGTTTTATAGTATTATTCATATAATATTAGGTAACACAATTAAGTCCACTAGTATAAGTATATTATTAGGGTTTATAGCAGTTTAATGATCTAATAGTATCATAGCTATGAGTGGTGTTCTATGTAGTGATGAGTTAAACCCAATAAATATGCTTTGAGGTTTATAGCAGTTTTTTATTGTCTACTAGTATCATGCTTTATGGGTGGTGTTCTGTAGTGATGATTAATTGTAAAATATGCTTTTGGTTTGTGCTAACAAAATATGCTTTGTCTCGCTGTAGTGCAAACACATACACCATTAATAAAAGGTGATGGAAGAAGAAGAAGAAGAAAGAAGAAGAAGAAGAAGAAGAAGAAGAAGAAGAAGAAGAAGAGAAGAAGGAAGGAAGAAGAAGAAGGAAGGAAGGAAGGAAGGAAGGGAAGAAGAAGAAGAAGAAGAAGAAGAAAGAAGAAGAAGAAGAAGAAAGAAGAAAGAAGAAGAAGAAAAGGAGCAGGGGAGGTTGGAAGGATTTGTGGCTAGGAGGAGAGATAGGTGTCTGTGATCCTCAGGTACCTCCTCAGATTATCAGTTCAAGTTTGACTCAACAACACCCTGAGATACAGATTGGCAGCCTTCGATTTGTAGTGTCCTTACCAGTAGGTGGGCAAGACCAAGGGAGCTGGAAGAGTGTCAACCAGCATACCTGCCTGTGTGATGGTCATGTGGAATTCTGGGGTTGGAATGCAAGCATCTAGCTAGTTAATGTTTCTTGTAGAACCTCAGCATATAAACTTGGTGATACACCTTTAAAAGCTATATTATTAGATGGGACACTGTCATCAAAGACTTCAGGCCACCTCATATTGTATCTTGACTATATTATTCCTTCATTGAGACCATGCACTCTTATCTGATTAGCTATTGGTAAATGTAACAACTGTCAATGAATCTTGATGTGGCTAACTGTGTATAGACTGGCTGAAAATAAGGTCATATCGCTCTGCTATATATTATTAAGCCTTCAGAGATCACATTTAAATTACGTTTACAAGTGCCCCTTCATCTACATTAAAAAACATTTCACTCAATTTCCACATTACTCTCCCCTGATGCATCAGGCAGTGTTATCACCAAGCGTTGATGCTCGTATATTTCTCTCTTTAAGTAAATATCCTGTAGCAATCGAAAGGCCTGTTTCACGATTTCTTGTGTGAACAGACGCGTTCTTATTTCTTCTCTATCTTCTTGGGGAGGCACAGCTTGGATGTGGGAAAGACACCTTAAGCGTATTAGTGACTCCAGACAGGGCTTATTCAGCTCCTCGTCATTGCAAATAACAAGCTGAAGATAATAACAGAGATATCTTGAGTCTTCTTATTTATACATGGCGTGCAGCCAACTCAGGCACTTCTGCTACCAGGTACTTTCCATGACTGGCTCACAAAGGTACACAATTTCTCTGTACACTCAACATAAGTTGCACCAGGACGGTGGATCCTACCACGAGAACTGATCCCGGCCCTCACTAGAACAGGACTTGTTGCCTTCTTACCTCCTTACGCATCTGACATGTACCCTGCTGCTGCTGAAGTAAGTTAAATTTCGCCCGCCATGGTCTTTTACTTGCAAGCTCAGAGACCAGGCCAGGTGGCCGTCATGAACCAACCAATGTAAGAGGCGTGGCTGCAATGATCTGATCCTGGGCAGCCCGCTCGGTATATAAGAAAGTTAATCCAGGCCAGTTTCAATTCCTCTGCATCCAGCACATTGCTGTGCCATACCTCCCAAAACTTCGGAAGGCTGCCAAGAGGCTGGAAGGTGGTGGCCTGGGGTGACAGAAGAGCGCAGGAGGAGAAGCTACATCTACATCTACAAGATACTGGGGGAAGCAGGTGCTGACACAGAATTTCATCATTCTATCCCATCATAGACTCTTTCGTGAACGACATCTTCAGGCACATCCTTTCTTGAGGGCTTCCGCCTAGCTTTTCACAACCATGCTCCACCGTACAGATCAGAAATCCAGACAGCTGTCGACTCTTGTTGCCAGTGGACTGGCAAGCATACGGTAATACAAGGGCACCAAGGCTGTCACAAATGCCCTCTTCAAGTGGAGGTTATGTGCTAACAAACACGCCGTCCACTACTGCAACAATCAAGCTCCTCAGACCTGATTCCCTATATTAAAGAGACAATTACGTGAAGTATATTGAGAGAAATAAAAATAAATTATAATAATCCTGCATTCTCTATTGGCGAACTGAGTTAAATCGAAACATAATAAATAAATAAATAAATTCTGCGTGGAGTACTTTTACCTGCAAGTGACATACATGGAGTGTGTTTGGGCTTCTTTCTTGTTGCAGCATACTATTTCATGTAAAAAAAAAATTTATTTTATTTATTCTTTTCTTTGCTATTTATTTCTTTACTTACATATTATTTTATATATTTATTTATTTACTAGCTCATTGTTTGTACCTGCCTCCCGAATTGACCTACTATACCCAATCATTGCCTCCACGAATGTACCAACTTACGTTAGGCGATTTGGAAGTAACCAAATTAGCAGCTCTCCGACGCAACCATTTCGATTGTCATGAAAATTATCTTAGAACGAAGTTCTTTGGCCTGAGAATTTGAGTTCTCTAGATGTCTGGTAGGTTTTTGTTGTGCTTTTTTGTTTCCCCAAGGAGAGGACAGCAACTCCTCATGAGGATCTTGGTGACTGGATGTCATGGCAGTGGCAGCAGGCGTGGATGCTTTGGAGTTGGTGTCCTCGAAAAGACCCACCAGGTAAGCCTCAGAGGCTTCCTGCAGAGCCATGACGGCAGACGACTGGAAGCGCAGGTCAGTCTTGAAATCCTGGGCGATCTCACGCACCAGGCGCTGGAAGGGCAGCTTCCTGATGAGTAGCTCTGTGCTCTTCTGGTAACGACGGATCTCACGAAGGGCGACGGTTCCGGGCCTGTAACGATGGGGCTTCTTGGCACCACCGGTGGCTGGGGCGGACTTGCGAGCTGCCTTGGTGGCAAGCTGCTTCCGTGGAGCCTTGCCTCCAGTGGACTTGCGGGCAGTCTGTTTAGTACGGGCCATCTCGACGACGAAATAGTCAATACGGGCGGCCCGGTTGTTTTGTTGTTGTTGTATAGATTGTCGGACCGTAGTCCGACACGGGCCTTTGCCTATAGGCGGCCCGTTTGGTGGTTCCGGCTGGAGCTCCAGGAGCAGCCAGACCGGATTGGGAATTGGGGTGGTCCCACCTGCAGATTGGAGGGATACTGCAGGTTGCAAGTGTGAGCGGACCCCCGATCAGTGGACGCTTACCACCGGCCCCCACTCTTGGACGTGGTCAGCCTCGGAGTGGCGCGCCCCCCGAACTGGGGTCCGCACTTGCTGGGAGAGGATGCTTTCTAAGCTATCTGGGTGGTGGGTATCGTGTGATGACCCGGAGTAGGTGGTGAATGTGGTCTGTATGGGCCTTTCGGGTTAGAGTGGCCGCTGGTGTTGTGTGTGTTTCTTGGGAGATTTGAGTTCTGTCTCGGAGGCTTTGTGTGACCTCGCAATCGAGGAGATAGTGTTCGAGTGGGTTGGCTGCTGGATCCTGACAGTAGGTGCATTCCGTGACGTCATTTCCGATCATCTGCCAGGAGCACTTGTACCCTAGTCGTAGTCGGTGAAGGCTGACTTGGGTTTGTCTTGGAGTTTTCTTGTCTGCGAAAGGTGGTTTCCCTTTTGTGGCCGCCAGGTACCATTTGGCTGATTGGGAACCAGCGTTGAGTGCATGAAGGAAGCTCTTTTTGATGTGGAGCTTGGTAGTCTTTCTGAGGTGATTTTTGATCTGTTGCACACTTGCTGGAACTTGGATGTGTACGCTACTGGAACGTGTAGCTGCCTTGGCTGCTTCGTCTGCCACGTCGTTTCCTCCGATCCCTACATGACTGGGAATCCAGTGTAAGACGACTGGTCGGTTTTGGCCTTGGAATTCCTGTAGCTGCGCGAGGATCGAGGTGATGATGTGGACGTTGTCTCTTGGTTGACTGTGTTGCAGCGCTTGCATGGCCGATTTCGAGTCCGTGTGAATTATGACGGACTTGTTGTATTTATGTTACTGGCGTGTGGATTACCATTCTGTTTGCCAGGTGGAGGTGATCATTGGAAAATCTCCATTTGAGGAAGTCTGACCTTGGGAACTTAGAAGCGCTCCCGGATCTGTGATGTTTGGAGTCCACGGGCATCTGCCGATATGATGCATCAGCGGTGTCTCGGTGGCTATAGCTGAAGTGTGCAGGGTCCTCCTTCTGGAGGTTGGCTTCTTTTCTCCGAGGTCAGTGAATTTTGGAGTGTGGCTGGTGGGCTCCATGGTGGGAACCAGTAACCATTGTCTCATCAACCTGTGGTTATTTCTTGTGAGTGTTTCTGTACGGGTATGGATGGCTCCTTGCCTCGTGCGACAGGTGAAAGCGCACTCTGTAGTCCCAGGTGGAAGGAGAGCACTGATTCAGAATGCCCAGCTGTAGGCTTGTCACTCTACAGATTTTAGCGAGGGGCGGCTGTCCTGTAACCAGCCCGTACTGCACCAGGGTGGTAGCTCGGTTTCCATTTGCAGATTAAATTCTGATCACATAAGTTGCTCCAGGCACATGGTCCTGAGGCAGTATTTTGAACTTCTGGCTCCAGCTATTTGGTCTTCTCTCAGTCCAATGGTGCTGGAGCACTGTAATCTACCAGCGATCTGATGGCGGCTGTGTAGTAGGCTTGGGCACGCAGAAGGTTTTGCTCCTCTTTGGTTTTTGCTGGTAAGCGACCTCATTATATTGTATCTGCTCTTCGTCCTGTGCCTGAGGTCCTCGAGGTTACGGCTTGAAGGTAAAGTTCTAGTCAGGCAAATTCCCAAGACACGCCGTGGGCGTTGGTCAGACTACCGGCGTGTTTTGTATGGAGAGCAACTTGTCTGGTGTGTTTGGCAGATGGCGCCCTTTCGACTTAATGGATTTATCATGCGGAATTGAGTAACACTCCTCTTCTATAGGGATTGGAACAAATGTTTTATGGCTAGTCTGTTCTGATCCTCTTACTATAAACTGTAAGTCGTCTGCTGGCATAGGGCTTGGCTGTTTGTCTGGAAGGGAAGTTTATTCGTTTACTGCATCAGGACATTGAACAGCATTGGACTGGGGATGCCTCCTGTGGGGTTCGTTTTCGTGAACCCTCTTAAGCAGGTTTGTTGCTCTGAGCGTACTCGTACTTCTCTCTGTGTGGTAGTTCTGGAATCCACCAGCAACCTTCCTTTGGCCTTATTTTTGGCAGGCGTAGTTGTAATGGCCAAAAGGATTTGCTAGTTCTCGAGCTTTCTCAGGTGAGAAGACCACAGGGCTAGTTGTGTTATCCATATGATATCTCAAACGTCTTGTGCCTATGCCAGTATTCTCGGTATAAGCAAAGATGTGAGTGTGGGCTTACCTACTTTCCATGGAGTCAGTTGAGGCCATTCTTTCTCCAGTCTTCCTTCTGCAGCTGAGAGGGGTGGGCCTCGGCTTATCTGCAGACTCTGGGCTTGGAGATGGGCTGTATATCTGCATAGCCATTCCGGTAAGGAGTCTTGTACTGTCCGGCATTGATGAAAGCACGGCAGAGCCTCGTATCCGGCTGTACCGGCATGAGAGCATGGAAGTGAGTTATCCTGTCGGCGGGCTTTATCCTTGCTTCGTTTTAGCGACTTCTGGGTTCTTATGGTTGAATGGTCTGTCGAGTGTCATCTTCACTATTTGCAGGCCTCTTGGATCATTGGAGTCTGACCTGTCATGAGCGCCGTTGTTCTCTCCGCCTGTCTAGGAGGTTCTTGGTTGCTGCTCGGTCAGAGAACAGTTTTGATAATCTCTGCTTTCTTCTGGGTTTGGATGATTGGTGGTGGTGGGTGTTTGAGATGCCTTGTATAATATCTTTGTATAGGGTGGTGTGCTCGTTGAGTTCTGGCACCGTGGCCAGCTGCGTTTTATCTTCCCTGGTATCGCGGCTATGACTTGGGGGATATCTGTTTTATTTGCGTGGGATTTCTCCTATAACAGTTCTTCAGATATATTCACTCTATGGTTAGAGTTCTTTTCACCCCTGGAACAGTAAGTGCAGTAATCATTGTCTTCTTGATTAGGTTTTGTTTTTGGGATAGCCTCTTCCGCTAAGGTAGAGCACTTCGACCAATTGGTGAGTGGAGGGTTGTCTCATCCGCAGGTGCTGCATAAACCGGCTGTGATTTCATACACTTAATGGTGTTTCTTAGAGTCCCAGTCTGCCTTTTGAGTGTTGTATCTCTCATCTCCAGGGGTGGAGTGGGGAGTTTATTCACCTTCAGCACGTTATTAGGGTGGCGTGGTCTTTGGTCAGGCGTAGGTGTATCTGCCAGGAGGCCAGAAGGCTGTAGTGCACACTGAGACAGTTGAATCTAGCCTATCCCCTCGTGTGAGTGGGCTCTCCAGTGTTCAGGAGGCGGATCTCGTTCTGTCTTCAAGATGGTATATGGGTGTAGGCCGTCTTCATTTTGTAGGGGCTTACCGAGCAGGAAGGGATGATGTGCGTTGAAATCCCTCCTATGAGTGGCAGCGTGGTCGGCGGCAGAAGCAAATAATTGAGTAACCTCAGTGGGCCTTGGGTTCTTGTAGATGTTATGAACAGTTAATTCCCGTTCTTGGAGGTTGCTTTGGCGGCTGTGTCTCGATGTTTTCCCACATGGGTGCTGCGTGACATGCGGGGTATGTTGACTTGACCAGATCGTCATCTCTTGTTGCGGCTTGCGTGAAATGCTTCTTGTATGTCTTGTAGCTGAATTTGAGTAGTGGTGTTCTTGTGAAGTGTTTCTTGGGAGTATGATGTCTGGGCTTGTCGTTGGCTGCTGCTTCTTGTAGGAGTGTTTCTTGTTTTGTGCCTGGGCATTCCTGTTGGGATGTTCAGGTTGTTGCGTTTTTCACCATGTTTATTGGGGACTTCTGGTGGTCCTCGTGGAGATTTCTAAGTTCGATTCAACTGAATCAGGTCATGTCTTCGTGTTCTGTGGTTTTGCCTTCTGGGCGTGGTTCGGTTCAGGGGTTAGAGTCAGTTTTTTCTGGGGCTGTCGGTATCTTGGGGCTGTCGGTGTCTTGGGTTCTCTGGTGGCCTTGTTGGTGTAGAGTGTTCCTCGGCTGTTACTCGTGTGCGGACGGCGTGGCTTCCTCCTGGGGTGGCTGGAGCTGTGGCGGCTTGCCGAGGCTGCCATGAGTATTTGGGCTGTGTGGGTTGGATCTTGTGTTTGGTAGTCGGCTAGGCCCTCGAGTCGTCAGTACATTAGCTGGGTCTGATTGTATCTTCTGGTGTTTGGTGTGTGCTTCTTTTTTTTTTAAGTGGTTGTCGTTCTCTGCTTGGGTGGCTGAGGTGTGTGGCTGTTGAGTGCTGGGCTGCCTTTGGGTGTTGACTGGCTGAGGTTGTCTTTGTTGTTTGGGCCTTTGGGTTTCCCACTGGAGGTGGGTGGGGCTAGTGTGTGGTGGTTGGGGCGGTCTTGCTGCTGGTCGGTTTGCCTGGACCTCTTTGTTCTCTGGGCATCCAGGATTCCAGGCGTGGTGTTTGCCCCGCGGTTGGCACATAGGGGCGGTACCCATTTTCAGCTTGAGTAGAGGCGGGACTGTATGCCCCACGTTAAGCCTGTCACGCAGATACGCAGGTTCCCTATCGTGCACCTTGTCTGGTGGTGCCGTGCTTCTGGCATCTGAAGCACATGGCTCTGGGACAGAGGCCTCAGCAATAGATCCCCAGGTTTTGAGTCCTATGGTGCTGGGGTGAGCGTGATGCGTCTGAGCACTTGTTTCATGGTAGCCGTCTTGTCGGACAGGGGAGAGCATCTCTCGGCTGGGATCTTCAGGTGGTTTCTCCAGGGTTCGAGAGTGGTTCCTTTGGGTGCCGGAGGACTGCAGCTTCATCAGTTCTGGGCGGGTCTAAACGTTTGGAGTAATGGTG